TAAATTCGAACTAATAATTGACTTTTGACTCTTGGCAGAAGAGAAGCGGTCTCGTGGTCAAAGAAGATCGACACCACATGGTCCTTCAACCATTCTGCCTAGATACGAGCAAGATCTCGGTCAATTACAACCTTAACGAAATCCTCACCTTCCATTATCGTACTAGGTGTCAATTTCGAAGGTAGAATTCCGTCGTTAAAACATGTCGTCAATATTTCGTGAATACGAATTTTATCTGCCTTTGTGGGTGGTGAGGAGAGCGTGGTCGTCCGTGGGGCTGTTTCTGAGGTCGTCACCATGTCGGACACATCGGAATCTACAACAACAATCACAATCCACAATAAAATTAACCAGATATAATATGCTAGACTCATAACGTAATGAGGCTTTCAGACTACTCTCACTGTCAATTCACCGGCTTTCGGAGTCAATCTTACCTTCCCTACTTCAGGCGAACCTTTATCCACATATAGGCTACTTCGTCTGATGAATATCTAAAGCGATGTCTTATACCTTCACCGAACTTCCTCCCGCGTCTTCGCGTAGAAGTCTTTATGTGTTGGCTTCAACAGTAAGTGTCGATGTTCTTTTCTCTGAGTCTTCTCCAAGCTCTCCTCGTGTTCCGACCCTGGGTCCGGGCGACTCCTGGTTTATCCCGTCCTCCCCCTTGTCCCTTCCTTCCTCCGCTTATTCCTTGTCCTGTGCATTCCCACTTCGGTAATACCGAGGTCCCTCGTCGCCTTCCTCCTTGTCCGAACCGTGATGGCGGTTGTACCGAAGGACCAGTGCCTAAGCACAGGCCCGACTAACTTCGGCCTGGAAACGCTACTTATAGACTGTTGTCTTCCCTCCACCACCTCTGTTTCTTTGTGCACTACTCCCTTTGCGTTTTGCGCTTCGGCACCATTGCGATTTAGCGCTAAAATTAGCGCTCAAGCAGCGGTTGCTTCCGTTGGCCGGTGCACTCGGTTTCAGTTGGCAGCCACTGTCATTCCCCAAATGCCTTTTTTTTTTGGCATTTTCTTCAAAAACTAGCAAAAATTTGTTCACAAAAGTTGTTGCGCAATTTCTGTATGGCGCCGTGTGACCAGCCAAGTACCGAATCCCCATTTCTCCAGACGGCCGCAACCTTGTCCCATCGGAAAAGGTACAACAGTGTAACGTGAACCATGCCCAAAACCTCAAATCGGCCCTTCCCAAATCCGCATATTTTGCGGATTTGGGGTCGCCGTGTGAGTATGCCCCTACTCCGGACTCTCGACCCTCATGAGCATTCTCTACTGTCGGACAAACACTACACGACAGGGCACCGAAGATTTGTTCACCGAGACTTGAGGCCAACTCTCAAATTTGCAAGTCGACTGAAGGGTAGTTGTTTGAATTCTTTTTTTACATAATATATATTTTTTGACAAGGATTTTATTCTTAACTTAAAAATGGACTTATATTAATTTATAGTTCTATAAACTCGATTTCACAGAGTCTGGTTTTTACCAAATTGCTGAAAACGACTTTTAGTTCTATAAATGACTATTCATTGAAACTGTTTTTTCTTAACACCTTTCGAATTCGCCTTGCAGTCCTTAAAAATTGTCGTGTTTGAGCAATGTTTTTTGTCTATCTACTAAGAACGACTTATAGTCTTATAACATGCTCGTTGCTGGAAAGAATTTTCTTGCACATTTTGAGAATCGCTAAAGTTTTTGCCATTTTTTTACCTCCTTTCTCGGGAAACAGTTAAAAACACTCTCTTTTATGCGTCAAAAATAACAGTTTGCCTTTTACTTTTTCATTCTATGAAAAATGTTAGGTTTTGTGGTTTTGTTAGGTTTTCAGGAATTTAGAGTTTCCTTCTCAAATCTGCATATTTTGCGGATTTGGGGTCGCCGTGTGAGTATGCCCTTACTTCGGACTCACGACCCTCGTGAGCATTCTCTACTGTCGGACAAACACTACACGACAGGGCAACGAAGATTTGTCAACCGAGACCGAAGGGCAACTCTCAAATTTGCAAGCCGACTGAAGAGACCTGTCGACCTCGTTTGAAAAAAAGGCCCCTGCAGGCGGGAACTGTGGAAACTTCAAGAGCTTGTTCGATGGGTCATTTCTGAAACCTCTTGAAGCGCCGGACCAAGAGCAGTTTTCCACAGTTAGTGCAACTATGACTTAGGGCCTCGCTGCACTACTCTAGACTCTCAAATTTTCGAGAGTGGGTCATCACTGCACTTACTCTCGATCGGGAAACTCTCGAAACCCGATCAAAAGCAGTCAGAAGCCACACTATAACGCAACTCTCGAAACGTCGAGAGTCCCCCGCCTGCAAAAACTGAATTTGGAAGTGTCCTCGGGAGTATCCCGCTGACAGGCTCGTTTTTCAACATTGGACCTCCAGTCCCGGCGGCCAGACTTTGTCCCGTGGCGCAGTGGTGCAACTCTTCTGCAGAGTAGGACGACGCCCGGCGGCCAGACTTTGTCCCGTCGCGGTGCAACTCTTCGGGAAACTCTTGAAACCCGATCGAGAGTTGTCAGAAGGCACTCTATAATGCAACTCTCGAAACGTCGAGAGTCCCCCGCCTGCAAAAACGGAATTTGCAAGTGTCCTCGGGAGTTGCCCGCCGACAGGCTCGTTTTTCGAGAGTGGACCTCCTGTCCCGGCGGCCAGACTTCGTCCCGTAGCGCAGTGGTGCAGCTCTTCTGTCGAGTAGGACGACACCCAGGGTTTCGAGAGTTCACCTAGTGTAATAGGTTATATATTAAGTGCAGCGAAGGCAGGTATTTCGAGAGTCTCATCTCTCTGACAATGCTAGTCGAACTCTCGAAATATTTCGAGAGTCTAGAGTAGTGCAGCGAGGCCCCTAGTGTAATAGGTTATAGGGTCTCGCTCCACTACTGTCCACTGTACAAAAATGGACAGTTCGACTTCGCTCCACTTACTGTCCACTGTCCATGTGCAAAATACCTCGGACAGTTGTCAGAAATCGCGTGGAACTTGAACGTCGACTGTCCATTTTTGTACAGCTCCCAGCCTGCACAAGTCGTTTCCTGGACGGTCCTAGGAATCCACGGACCCTCCGCCGTTTCGGACAGTGAGCCTGGAGTCAGGGCTGACAAGTGTGCAAGTTTTGGAGTTTTGCTCTGTCCGGCCATTCCAACTTTTGTACAGTGCTTCGTGGCACTGGTACTCCGGGACACTGCTCGGATGTCTGCCCAGCTCTGTGGACACACTACTCGGTATACCGCGAGCCTTGCGATGACGAAATCGAACGGCCATTCCGATTTGGCAGAGGCCAGATCACTTTCAGGATTCCCACCAAAAACAATTGGGACCCACGCTTCTGGCTTGGACAGCGGCGTCATCGCTCCACTACTGTCCACTGTACGTGCGAGTTTTTGAGAAGATCTGCTCAGTTGTACAGTGGACAGTAAGTGGAGCGATGCCGCATTTTCCACTGTCCGCTGTACAATATTTCGCTCTGACAACTGTCCACCAACTGGTCGAAAAATTGCACAGTGGACAGTAGTGGAGCGAGACCCATAGAGTAAGTGCAGCGAAGGCGGGTATTTCGAGAGTCTCACCTCTCTGACAATGCTTGCCGAACTCACGAAATATTTCGAGAGTCTAGAGTAGTGCAGCGAGGCCCTCACTCTCCACGTTGTGGAGAGTGAATCTGACAGCTCTTGAACAGAAATCCAGCGGCATCAAGAGTTAGTGCAGCCGTGATGAACTCTTGATTCTTCAAGATTCAAGAGTAGTGCAGCTAGGCCCTAAATCATCCTTTCTTTTTCGTTTTCGTTTTTCTTTCCTGAAAAATGACCAGCGTTTATAATTGTGGTCCTCAAACCGTTCACCGTTTGTTGAATGGTTTCCTTTCTCTTTTTTTTTTTTTTTTGGTTGAATGGTTTCCTTTCTCTTCTCTCTCTTTGGGAAAAAAAAAAAGCATAGGTAGAAAAAAAAAAGGGAGGAAAAGGGGGGATTAAAAAGAGATACAGTGGGCCGGGTTCAGGCCGGGGGTAGGCCTGTGGATTAAAGGGAGTAGAAATAGGGGATGGTAGGGATAGCTAGCAAGGTTACTTTGGTGGTAGTCGTAGGTATTATATATCTGTAATAGTTTAAGTAGAGCGTAGTAGAAGGGAGTTGAAGTTAGAGGTGGACCCCACCGGACAGCAGCTGGAAAACCCGCGAGTTCATTAAAAACGGCCCACCGTCGTTGGAACGTGTTTGGCAGATTTTGTTGGCACCCCACCGCGACTGCAAAATTTGGCATTGGAAACGACCGCACTTGCCCGAATAGGGAAACTTGAAAGGCCAGGTCCGAAATAGGAAAGTTCGGTAGGGGCACCGGTCCATGGCCTTCCGTTGTGGATGCACCAGGTCCAAAAAATGGTCCCCTCCACCGCTGTGTGGACCATGCCGTCTGGCCCCCCGATGCCATCGGAGAACATGCCCCCCCCCCTACTCTGCTGGGGACCATGTTTGGAAAAGGAATGCTGCGATCCGGCAGTGATTTTCCAGACCGCCGACCATGTAGAAACGCCCCATCAGCATTTCGGCAACCCCTTTCCATCACCGGTCGGGTCTGGAAAACCTTTCCAAAGAGGCTTTCCACACCTCTTTCCATCACCCTTGGGGTCTCCAAAACGATCGGGCGCTTTTTTTTTTCAAAGCCACCGTCCCGTGGGGTCCACCTCTTAGTCAGAGGACTCAGGTGGCTCACTACAAGCTAAACTGGCTGAGGCTGCCAGGATAACACCGGGTGAATTGTGAGGATCCCCGGCCTCGAACGAAGTTCTTTTTTGCGATGAAATGCACTGTGTTGAACAGAAAAAAAAATAATAATAAAATGAAAATAAAAAGAGAGAGAGAGAAAGAGAGAGGAAAAGAAAAAGAAGGCGCAGCAGAGACGAACTACCCTTCGACAGTAGAGTGATCCGTGTGAGGACCCTACTACCCTTCAACGGCACAGTGATCCAGGCGAGAACCCTATATATCGCATCGCTGCTCAGTGCAGGCCACAACACCGTGTGGAGTGTTTCTTACGGGCGAGAAGCAAGGAGAAGAGGCGGCCGCCCCTCAGACCCCCCACGGAGGTACGGCATCACTATACTCCTGTTCCCGATTGTGGGTTCAGACAGAGCTGTCTCTCTCTCTCTCTCTCTCTCTCTCTCTCTCTCTCTCTCTCTCTCTCTCTCTCTCTCTCTCTCTCTCTCTCTCTCTCTCTCTCT